ATTAGTGGCGTGATACATAGAAGGGAATATGATGAATGAATCATATAACCGCTATGATTCACATTAATAACTCAAGCTAGTTCTAGTATTAAAGTACTCTATTTACCTATTATGGTAATCACCTTAATTTTATTTTAAAATCGTGATCACGTGTCAAATGTTTTGTATGAAGAACCCACCGAGTCAAATAATTTTTAAAACTTATTTTTCTTAAACGGTTCAATGGGCCTACAAAACAATGTTAGTTTACGTTTTAAAACGTTTTAATTTTTGGTCCACTAATCTTTATTTTAATTAATTAATTGTGGGTAATTCAAATCATGGTATTAAGGTGATTTTATGGTAATTGATTTGTAACGTTGAAGGCAGTAAAATACCATGATGGGTGGGATTTGTCTTCTGCCGTTACAAATCAATCGTGGCCCTCTTCTCTCGTCTATAAAAGCATCCACAACTCTTCTCCTCAACCATCAGACGCAATTGAGAATTCCATGACTTACAGAATATTAGTGAGTTGTGATATTAGAGAGATAGAGAGAAGAAGGTGTGGTACGAATAAAGTTCTCAAGGAGATTCGAAGGAGGCCTGGCTAGGCTCGGCTTGTAGATTGCTATCGTTCATCGTCTCTATCGAAATCTATGGCGAACGGTATGTCGATAATCCTAATTATGTGTTTATGCATGTTCTTAAGATGAATTTGATTTCAAGATTCTGTGATTAAAGTTTTCCGCATAAAATAAATAAAAGTCTTTCATTTCAGATTTCATCGAGATTCTCTATACCGCAACGTCACTCTCTACTTCGACTGCACGTTTAACTCGGCCCGAGAAGACGCGATTTTCAACCGGTTGTTCAACTGCAATGCGAGCGGTGGCGGCGCAGCATCTGTGAATCTGTTCGCGGTGGGGGACGCGGCGTCGGGACCTGGGCCCGGCGTCACGTGCGGCGATTATGTATCTGTTCCGGTGAACCAGACGGCGGCGCGTGTACTGGAAACTCCTACGGCTTCGTCAATAAATGTTTTGCGTGATGCTCTTGCCGGTGGGTTTTATATCCAGTGGTCAGCGGATGACGAAAATTGCCAAAATTGCAGACGATCGGGAGGGTATAATTGTAATTTTGCATTGAGTGTTTGATATTTTCGGAGTCGAGCACGGCGGCTTCTGTAGGTTGGACCAACGGCTCCTGCGCCTGAGAAATCTCAAGGTGTGATAGTTACCGTACATTTGAATTTCTGTTTTTCTTTTTGGGTAAATTCCATTTTTCCCCCTTTACTTTGCCTCGGTATTACTTTACTCCCTTCAATTCTCGATTGCATTGATTTTCTCCCCTGCACTTGAAAAATTATCTCGATGTGGCCCTCGCTATTAGTTGTCTGACATTTGACGTTTTGATCTAAGCTCTGAAATTACAAAAACTCCACATCTCCTAATTTAAATAATTATTAGGAAAAAAAAAAGATAATAAAAAAATCAAGACAACGAGAAAACATAATCCACAACGTCAGCCATAATTTATTTTAATTATTTTAATAATTATTTAAACTGGGATAGGTGGTATTTTTATAATTTCAGAGCTTAAATCAAACGATGTTAAGGTCAAATGCTGACAACTAACATCGATGGCCACATTGAGACAATTTTTCAAGTGCAGTGGAGGAAATCGATGCAATCGAGAGTGTAAAGTGATATCGAACTAAAGTACAAGGGCCGGGGAAAGTAGAATTTACCTTTTTTTTTTTGGTCTAATTCATTTTAGGGGCTCTTTGAGGAAACCCCCTAATTATTTTTTTAACGGAGGGAGGCCCAAAATATTTTTCTCCATTTGAGAAAAGCCCATACCCATTTTCAACCATTATGTTTTCCAGCTTTGCCCCCGCCCGCCACATCATCACTGGGTCACGCGCTCAACGATTTTTTTTTTCCGTATCAGTTTCCTTAATCGATTATGAAGCATAGTCGATTTAGCCTTAATCGACTATGCGTCATAGTCGATTAAGGAAATTCTTTAATTTTTTATTTTATTTTTATTTTTTTTTCTATATCAGGTATATTAATCGACTATGATGAAGCATAGTCGATTATGAATCTGCTACTAAACATAACAAATTACAACTGCGAAAAAATGCAAAATCAACTATATTTTACAAAAAACAAAAAATATACAAACATTATAAATGATTTATACAATTGAAATCAATAAACAAGAAATCCAAAAAAAGTAAATAAAAAACTGGAGTCGATCAACCTTAATCGACTACCAGAACATAGTCGATTAGTTTAATCGACTATGAACATGTACATAGTCGATTAAGGTTTCAGCCTGCGCGAAATTCTCTACACGCGCCGTCCTGCGTCCGATCCACAAAAAACCCCAAAATCAGCCTCCCCATCGTCACCACACCACCCAGAGCTCCTGCCATGGCCGAACCCGTCAGGTTTTGAGCATGTTCAGCTCCACCAATGAAGCAACATCAGTCTTGAGCACCTTCTTTACAATCTCCTCCTTGATGATGGCCTCGCACACAACCGATTTTCCCTTCCCTTCAATCCAGTTCCCCGCAGCAGGTTTCTTGCCCGAACAGTAGTTGCCTGAGATTCCGATATAACGTCCATGTCAGGGAACTCGTTGTTGAGGAAGTTTATGACATTTTGGACACCTTTAGAGACCATGTTCATCCCCATGGCATCCCATGTGCTGCAAGTGAACCTCATATACAGGTATACCGAAGAAGTCGAGGAGATAGATGAAGGAGGCAACGAAGGTGTCGATGGCGGCGATCTCAGAGAGGCCTTGACGGAGTCGGAATCCTTGGGCAGGCGGCGTTGGTCAACGGAGGCACCTCTCATCAATCTGGCGGCGGAAGCAGTGGACGGCGGGGGAGAGGTAGTGGTGGTGGTGAGGGGCAGAGATGGTGAAAAAAATGAGAGAAAAATTAGGGTTTCAAAATAATACATTAACAATTAAGGGTAGATTTAGAATTATAAAAATAACATTTGGTGGAATACTAACTAAGGGGGTTTTCTCTAATTATTTTTAGGAGGGGTTTTTTCATTAACTACATTTCCTAGATAAGGGGGTCTTGCTAATAATCCCTTCATTTTATTCACCCTCATTTTTAAAACATTGCAGTGACAATTTTTGAGATGCATAGCTTTTGGGTTAAATACAAATTGGACCCCTGTACTATCACCACTGTTATATATATTACAAAATGCAATATAGTAGCCCCTCAATTTATCGGCCAACCTTCAGATCTCTTACACCTTTTGTTTTTGTAACGTAGTTACCTTTTTACCCTTACTTATATATGGTATAGATAGACATTTTTTGACTCTATTACTTGGGCCGATTTTTTTGACTTTATTACGTAGCCCTCTGGTTGCATCGACAAGAGGTTTAAAAAAAAATATGCCAAGTAGTGTTTGGACATAAAATATGAAATGCATGAATTTTGAGAATTAAAATTACGGGAAGTATTTTAAATCGAGAATTTTTGGGCTGTGGGAAATACAACTAGGGAAAAACATGAAAAAATATAAGTAAATTGAGTACAAGAGAGAAAGAAAGAGGCACACCTTTGATACACAACCAAAGGGCTATTTTCGTCCGTAATTGTCCAACATCTAATCTAATGGTGGGTCAACTTAAGGGACGGATTATCTAGCATGACTTGATGGCGGGGGGCCATATTATCGCATTTTGTAGTGTATGGGGATATACACGAAGTGGCAATAGTACATGGGTGCCAATTTGTATTTAACCCTAGCTTTTATTGATAACATTATTTTATAAATTTTAGAATTGTATTTTTTTTTTAAAACTTATTCTTGTTCCGGACCGATCCAATTTAAAAACCCGTAGAAGTGCAAAATGCGTTTGCAACAAAAATTGGGAAATATCGAGAGAGGAAAAAAAGAAGAAGGTTTTATTGTTATCACTATGACCAAAATGACTGTTCGGTTTTATGTCCGATCCGATTTAAAAGCCTTTGATTTTCCGGCTTACCCATTTCAGCATATGCAATACTAAATAAATTGCACCGGACAACTTGAGTATTTTTAATTTCATAGACTTTTATATAACAGTTTTTTTGTCTATTTCTTTCTAATAAGGTAATGATGCTCTTGGCCCTAGTCCAATTTTTGCCAATCCCCCTGCAAGTAATCGACCGGATTCCAATAATCCGACTGGAAATGGTATGAACGATCCAAGCCATGCTTGTCTTTACATTTAAAATATGGGGTAAATTACACATACATCCCCAATGTATGCTAATTTAAGATCCCTGTAGTATCGGTATTACAATTACCCCCTGAAACATTGTTAGAAACTCTAACGGGATAATGCGTTGGATAATTTATTCCGCTAGAGTTCTAACTGACTATTAATTTTAAGAAGTCGCGGAGACAACATAGAGCTAGAGGTGATTTAAGAAATGTTGGGGGAGCCATGTCACCCCCCTAGGTCTATGTTGTCTCCACCACTTCTTGAAACTAATAGTCCGTTAGAACTCTAATGGAATAACTTATCCAATGCATTATCTCGTTACAGTTTCTAACTATGTTTCAAGGGGTAAATGTAATTACCGACACCACAGAGACCTTAAAGTTCTTTTAGCATGCCTCAGGGGTATAGGTGTAATTTACCCTAACATATATTAATGTTCGTATTGATACTGATTAAATCGTCTATCTTATATCTAAAATGATATTTTATCTCGTATTTCAAAATCATCGATACAGATTGCAAGTAAATTGGTTTATGTCACTTTACATACCTGTCGATTGTGATTTTGAAATACGAATTAATACATTTGGGAAGAATGTAGGACGTCTGAATTTTTTTTTCGAGTTAATGGACTTTCATTAACAACTTCTTCCAGGGCCATCTGATTCAAAGCGACTTCCTCCGTTTGGGTTAATAATAGGTAAAATTGTAAACTTGTGCACTCTCCTACATATGACATTCTTAGGACACTTTTTCATATGTAATAACATGTCTCCATTGTCTTTCTAGGTCGGATACTTGGTATAATTGCTGGAACTTCTCTATTAACCGCTCTCACGATCTACTGCGTGAAAAGACGACGTTCACGGCGTGGTTCTAATCAAACAAACGATAAATATATACAGAATTTTCTACTCCATAATGGATCACTCGCTCTCAAGAGATACAAATATTCCGAAATCAAGAAAATAACAAAATCCTTCAATGAAAAGCTTGGTCAAGGAGGATATGGTAGCGTCTACAAAGGTGTATTACCCGATGGTTCCCTCGTGGCAGTGAAAGTTTTGATCGAAGCTGATAGCAATGGAGAAGAATTCATAAATGAAGTTGCTAGCATTAGTAGAACTTCCCATGTCAATATTGTCAATCTCTTGGGATTTTGCTATGGTAGAGACAAGAGAGCTTTAATCTATGAATATATGCCAAAGAAATCTTTGGACAATTTCATCAACAATAATTGCCCGGATTTGGAAAAGATGTACAAGATTGCGGTTGGTGTTGCCAAAGGTTTGGAATATCTGCACACGGGGTGCAATACTAGGATTGTTCATTTCGACATTAAGCCTCAGAACATTCTATTAGACGATGATTTTTGTCCGAAAATATCTGATTTCGGGCTTGCTAAATTGTGCAAGAAGAAGCAGAGTATATTATCTGTGCTTGGAACAAGAGGGACTATTGGTTATATTGCTCCAGAAGTATTTTCGAGAAATTTTGGAGGTGTTTCTCATAAATCCGATGTCTATAGCTATGGAATGATGGTTCTTGAAATGGCTGGTGCGAGAAAATTTGTCGGAAATGAGGCAATTCAATCGAGTGAGAATTACTTTCCCGACAAAATATACGAGCAAGTGATGATTGATGTAGCTAAGGAATTGGATAGTCTAGCGAATATTGAAGATTGTGAAGAAGAAACTGCGACGAAATTGTTTTTGGCTGGATTTTGGTGCATCCAGACAATTCCGTCGGATAGGCCACAAATGTCTAAGGTTGTGGAAATGTTAGAAGGAAGTATTCAATCCATACAAGTTCCTCCGAAGCCAGTGTTGTTTCTACCTCCTACAGTTGTGGCGCGTGAATCTTCGGCAATTTTATATACGACAGAGACAGAGGATTCAGTTGAAGTTCAGCTAAGGGGTAATAACTGAGGTTTTAATAACAACTCGATAGCAATTACAATATGTAAAATCTTGCTTGTGACCTTAATTTTTCACCGTCATTATCTGCGACTCTGCGGTTGTATACATGACAGAGACCGAGTAGATAAATCTGGGAATCAGAAGAATGTATGGCATCGGAAAGTTTACTTTTGAAACAAAAAAGAAGTTATCGATTCGAATACTATACTTTTGATACTATCAAATATCTTGCTACTTAGGTATTTTTTCGAAATCCTTCACAAAATGGAAAAATGAAAATAAGATTTTTTTTTTTATTTTTTTTATTTTTTTTTTATTTTTTATGAAACATATCATTAATCTACTCCAACTATATAAATTTAAAAAAAAATGACACTACTTTAATACTTTATATACATAAAATAATCATATTATCAAAATAAACATATTGAAAATGTTTTAAAGTATTTTTAGAATTTAAATTGTATACGAAATCCAATTTTCGATTATCTTATATAGACACTTCCAATTTGGATGAATTTGTGGTCATGTTCTTTCATTAAAAAATCTTGCTACTTAGGTATTTTTTCGAAATCCTTCACAAAATGGAAAAATGAAAATAAGATTTTTTTTTTTTTTTTTTTATTTTTATGAAACATATCATTAATCTACTCCAACTATATAAATTTAAAAAAAAATGACACTACTTTAATACTTTATATACATAAAATAATCATATTATCAAAATAAACATATTGAAAATGCTTTTAAGTATTTTTAGAATTTAAATTGTATACGAAATCCAATTTTCGATTATCTTATATAGACACTTCCAATTTGGATGAATTTGTGGTCATGTTCTTTCATTAAAAAATCTTGCTACTTAGGTATTTTTTCGAAATCCTTCACAAAATGGAAAAATGAAAATAAGATTTTTTTTTTTTTTTTTTTTTATGAAACATATCATTAATCTACTCCAACTATATAAATTTAAAAAAAAATGACACTACTTTAATACTTTATATACATAAAATAATCATATTATCAAAATAAACATATTGAAAATGTTTTTAAGTATTTTTAGAATTTAAATTGTATACGAAATCCAATTTTTGATTATCTTATATAGACACTTCCAATTTGGATGAATTTGTGGTCATGTTCTTTCATTAAAAAATCTTGCTACTTAGGTATTTTTTCGAAATCCTTCACAAAATGGAAAAATGAAAATAAGATTTTATTTTTATTTTTTTTTATTTTTATGAAACATATCATTAATCTACTCCAACTATATAAATTTAAAAAAAAATGACACTACTTTAATACTTTATATACATAAAATAATCATATTATCAAAATAAACATATTGAAAATGTTTTAAAGTATTTTTAGAATTTAAATTGCCAATTTTCGATTATCTTATATAGACACTTCCAATTTGGATGAATTTGTGGTCATGTTCTTTCATTAAAGTTTAGGACTTGACTAGGGTGAGACCACTTGTGTTCTAAACTTATATGAAATATGCATTAATTACCGTTAACTTTCTAAGATTAAATCTGGACCCTATGAAAATAACATGACTTATGTTCCAAAAAATGAAGTACTTTACCAATTATCCTTCGATTATTTTTTTTATTAAATTAATATATAAAATAGATTAACATTGAATTGTCTAATTTACCCCTACTATATTTTAATTAAATAATTAATTTAAATTCATTGCGAGTTTTATTTGATAAATAATAAAAAAAAAAATGCATTCATTAAAGATAGAACTTGTGACATCTTAGTTCACTTATCACTCCTAACAATGAAAAGCACATTAACTTATTATGATGTATTTAACCATAATTTTATATATCGGGAAACACAATATAAAATGATAATAAATCTAAGTATTTAATACTGTTAAATAAAATATTAATTGAGACATTGATTATTATGAAATGATATTAAATAAATTAATAACAAATTTAATATATTAATGTTTGAAAAATACAAAGAATTGCAATTCAATACGCCAAACATCTATCATTAATTATATAATATTAGAAATATTAATAAAATACACCATTTAAAAATGTAAAGAATGCTCAATTAAATATAAAAAATGCATAACTTAATCCAAACTCACTTATGTTATTAAATTTATAGTGTGACAAATCCAAATAAAAAATAAAATAATATGTTTATTTAGAAGAAGAAAAAATTATAACTCATTCCAATTAGTAGTTTTCTTACTTTAAAATAAAATTATATACTACAAATACTATACTGTGAATTTTCTTTTAATATTTAATTTAATCAAATAGTAAGATTTGAATCGATTAAGCTCAAATCCTTTCAACTAGTAAATATTATTCAAATATTTGAATCGATTGCTTAACTATTGACATAACGTGTTACATAATTGATTTAACTATTTATAAGTAATGTCGTCTAATATCTTTTTAATTCAATTTTATCATAAAAAAATAATAAATTTAATTCCTAACACATGTAAGAACCTAATCGTAAATCGTAATATTTTATCAAAGCGTAATATTTGAACCAATTAGGCTCAAGTCCTTTCAATTCGTAAACATTATTTAGATATTTGAATCGATTAAGCGCACTCAACTATAATTGACAAGAACGTCTTAATCAAATTAACTATTATTAATTAAAGTGTAATACATTTTCAATTCAATTTTATCATAAAAAATAATTCCTAAATCACTTAAGAATCAAATCATAAGATTAATTAAAGCGTATGATTTGAATCAATTAAGCGCAAGTATTTTTAATTTGTAAATATTATTCAAAATTTTGAATCGATTAAGTTCAACACTGACAAGAACGTATTAATCGAGTTAACTATTTATAATTAAAGTCTACAACCCTTTTAACTCAAGTTCAACAAAAAAAAAATAATTTAATTCATAAAATCGTAAGAATCAAATCGTAAATCGTAAGATTTAATCTTACCATGAACCGATTAAATCTTACGATTTTTACGAATTAAATTTTAATTTTTTTTATGATAAAATTCAATAATAAAAGATATTAAACTTTAACTATACATAGTTTGATTAATACGCTATTGTAAATTATTGAGTTTAACCGATTCAAATATTTGAATATTGTCTACGAATTGAAATGAGTTGAGCTTAATCAATCAAATCTTTGAATATTGCTTTTGAATTGAAAACACATGAGTTTAATTGATTCAAATATTACGATTTAATTAAATCTTACAATTTACGATTCAATTCAAACTTCAAATTCTTTTGAAATTCATTTTTAAATTACACGGGTTGATCAGCATTTCCTTAGATTTTTAAATTATATTATATAAAGATTTGTTAGTATGGGATTTTTTAATATATAATAATTATTATATGAGAATTAATAATTTATTTAACATTATTTATATAAGTTTTATAATCATTATACATTGTAACTTTGTGATATATATATCCGTATTGTTAGTTTATTGTCAATTATGTGTTTTGTCTTAATAGTAAGTGTTCTTGTATGTTTTCAGATGGTCTCAAGTTCCAATTCTGGTTGATGCAATTTTGGATGGGTGGTTTTAAGGATTTTTACGAATAATGATATAATTGACTATATAAATTTTAATTCACCAATAAATATATATTTAAAATTGCATTAAAATAGAGAGAGTAGAATTGACATTTCATTAATAATTTATAATTGCCGATTTTTTTAAAATAATAATTGTACAAAAGGTATTTGCGACAATACATAAATGAAGAAAAATAAGTTTTGTTGCTGGGACACGTGTCGCAATCTAAATGAGGTGTTCTTGGGATCTCACGGTAGAAAGACCCTAAAGTTTAACTATATGATGACAAAATTGACTAGTCAACTATAATATAAAAATATATTTTCTACATACCTCCCTTTTCCACGACTGTTTTTGCAAGACAAATCAGCTTATAGTCTTTGAAGTATTAGAAATAAATAAGAAACGGACTAGAGAAATTAAAGAAATATATTTTATATGCGAACATTGATTTTACGTCGAAATTAGAGGCTACACCTAATTATTTACATTGGATGGATTTTTGAACCATAAATCTACACATAATAACATAGACACCTATATGTATGTGTGTTTAGTGGGTGATTATTTAATCAAATTTACTTCTTAGTGGGACTGAGGGAATACATGGGTGGTAAATGAGCTGAGCCGACTCGTGAACTCGATGAGCTGACTCGATAGAAGCTCGAACGAGCTCGGATATTTCGAGCTCGAGTGTAGTTATAATTGTTCGACAGCTTCCGAGCTTTTTATTTATTTATTATTTAAATAATATACATAATAATAAAAATAATATTAAATAAATACGTATAAAAATTAAAAATGTATATTTATATAATTTACTTTTATTTTTATAGTCATATAAATAATTTATACCGATAAAATAGAGTAATATTAATATAAAAATTAGAAAAAATAAAAAATTAAAGAAATGAGTTGAGCTCGAGCTCGAGCTCAATAAATTTGCTTGAGCTTGAGCCTTAGAAATGAAAACTCGATGAGCTCGAGCTCGAACTTGCAAAATTGGACACGAGCTTGAGCTTGAGCCTGAAAAAAAGTTTACGCCGAAAGCTGGCAGCAAAAAATGAATTTCAGAAAAAGAAAAAAGTTTTTTAAAAAAGTCAAAATTGGATTTTTGTGGTCAAAATTGATTAAATTGAGGTTACAATTAAGAATTGAGTGTAAATGGTTGGGATAATTTTGTCATATGCATTAATTTTTTCGTTATTTATAATCTATATAATATATAAATTGAAACCCTCATACCTTAGAATTACGACATGTGTCATCCATATAAGCATCCACGTAGGAATCCTATTCATCGCCCATGTGTCAATATAAATTTAATGCATTTGAATTAATTATTAAATATCTTATATCCTAATATAACTTATATCCTAATTTTTACTATTTATGCCTTCCAATATTTACTCCAATACATATCAATTATTTAAGGAAAATATATCACTCATATATGTAATATATTTTAATATGAAGCTAATTATTTAATAATTAATATAATTAAGGCAATTATTTAATTAAAACATGGACAATATATTCATATATGCCACATTGATTCATTCTTAGTTTAATTCGTTGATTTTTATCCATGTGGCATTTTTGGTCCTAATATATGATTTTCACAACGTATTTTTTTCATTCGAACCATATTTTATTTTTGAACTCCAACTTCTTTTTTCAAAATTCTATTATAATT